GTCGTTCCTTCATGTCACGACGCGCAGGGAGCCATCTGCATGACTTATACCTCTGCAGTCATCATTTCTCTTGAAGAGTACGAGTAGATGTAATCATTTCCGTTTTTTTTTTTGCAGAAAAGATGTCTCTATCTTCAGGATTGCACCTTTGAGAGCTCAGACGGTAAAATAAGGGAATCGCTGTTGGAGATGGATGATCTGAACACAAGAATCTTCCACAGTGAATCGTTGATGTCAGTGAGGACTGATGAGGCATCGGAATACATGGGAATAGGTACTTACATCCCAATTCGCACCCTCATACCTACTGCTGTATGGAAGAAGAAGGTTTATCACCTTATAAAAAGAATCAGGCTGGCTAAATTAAAGACGTACAGCACCGCGCGCTCTATTCCGATAGGGCATTTCCTAAAATTACATCGAAATGAATTCATGGCCTGTCGCATGCGGTGTGTATGTACTACTATACATACGGCGTGAATGAATACGACCTTGGCCGCTGAGTGGTATAGATCTGCAGACAAAGAAGTCTCAATTGCTTTTAATTTCAAGGTCGTACGAAAACCTTCAAGACATTTAAACTGAGCTGAGCTCTCGGGTGTACTGGCTGCATGGCGCGATAAGCTGTGAAATTCGCCCGTTAAATCCTGCCAATAGCGTCGCACGGAGCCCGTTTGCGTGAGCGAGCGCACCCCTATAGCGGCACCCCCTCTGAGCCAGCTATTGGCCTTTTCTGAGGGGACGACGGGTCTGGCCGGTCCTGGTTTTCACTCGCATGGCCGGATACACGACTGAGGCTCTCCTGGGCTGTCCCACCGGGATGCAGCGTAAAAAAATCCATACATACATACATACATCCACTGAATCTTGTGGATTCCTGATCCAGCATTTTTATGATTTTCGCAAACGTTAAGTGCTATTAGAATTGTTTATTTTATTATCATTTTTGACAACGATATGTAAGTACGATTTAGATTACATAAGCGTTGTTTGTGTATGCTTTGTATTTTAGCTTTTTGCCCATATTTTCGTGCTTAACCACCTGGAATGCATTCTAAGGATGAGAACAAAACTAGCTTATCGACGAGCTTACTGCTAAAGCTAATGGTACTTAGTACTTACGTTTGGAAACTGAGCGTTTCACCCACAAGATGAAGTGTCAGACAGCATTAGGAGATGTAGCTAACCTGCAGTTTCATGCCCGGCTGCCCAAAAGCCCATGGAAATCCCTCGACCACCGCCTTTAGAGCTGCTACTGGGCGCCTCCTGCATCATTTGCACTGACGCACGTGCGTCATCACCGAATGTAAATGACGTCACCGAGGCTGTTGCAGTCGGCCGCGTGTCGAATCGTACGGCCCGCAGCTCCGCAGGGGCTGGGGGCAATGCCGTCTGATGGCCTTGGCGTCCGGCGCCCAGGGGGGGGGCGTCTCGGGTTTCACACGCGCGTGTCTGTCTGGCACGCCACTCTCCCCCCCCCCCCCTCCCCTCCCACGTGTCCGTTCGGCGGGGATAGAGCCGACTCCGTTCCGGTTATCCACGAATTTCACCAGCGCCAGGTGGTCGACTGGGAATGCTGGAAATCGCCCCACCCGCATCCGATTCAGCAGAGTATTTCACGATGTCGTGAGCACAGATTCGATGTTACGGGTGGTCATTCTTGTAATCGAGATCAACATTGCACCTCACATTTGCATGAAGTTCATGTGAACGGATTACGCAACAGACAAGTAATCGTTTTTTTTTTTTGCCATTCGAAAGATTACGGGACAGTTACTTGCAAGGCTTTATAAATGGACTGAAAACCAGCTGGGTATTTCCATGGGTTCGAAAATGTGAAGAGCTCAGATGATCTGTTCTGCGCAAAAGTGCGACGAAAAAGTAGCCAGACACGATTAATCGTGGGTATTTACTGCATTCCTCCTCATTGTATTCACAGGACAGTGAAGCCCTATAACTATAAACAAAACCAGCCTTTTAGACGATAGGTTTACATACATATTACATTGGTTGAGAAGATGATGCATTCGACGCTGGATCTCAAACACGCATTGATAAGAAACTGGGTATAGGTAATAAAAAAAAAAAACAAGGAAACACTGAAGGTTTTTGCCAATACGAGCATTCTTGATACGGTGTAGACGATGTCATGGAACAGAAACATGCACATTTTAAAGCCCGTCTATTCCGCGTACCTACAGATCATCTAGCACGACATGAACGTCGGAATGTAGGCACTGTAGGACGCTGGATTTGGCCAAATGACAGACCAACTGACGGGTCAATGAATTATCGCACCATGGGCGTCGAGCCTAATCCACAGGAAAAATATCACTGTTTCAGCGCTCGGCTGCACTGCCCTTGAAGGCACCAGCTTATATGTGATGTATGAAGGCCGGCAGTTCCGTGCAAGTTCCGGGCGCGACAAAATTCCCCACTATAGCTTCCGCTATGTTTTAACCTTGAGTGTCTTTGCGCAGCTGTAAAACTTTGCCAAACACCTAGAATATAGGTCATTGAGTCAAGTTTCACCTCCAAACATAGAAAAATCATCAAATTGTTCTTCCTTCGCGTCCCGTTGGGCAATTCCCGGACCCTGCCAACGGTTGGGGGTGGGGGTGGGGGTCGGTTTCGTGGGGGGGGGGTCGGACCCTCCCCTGATATCCCGGAAAGTTACCGGTCGCTTTCTTAAAATTCAAACAGCATTTCAAAGTCCTGCACATTGACGATCAGAATAGCGTGAGAATGCGTCAGTAGGCTCAGAAGGCATTCTGAGTCACAGAATGCATTTTGTGTCTTCATGTGATCATTTTTGCTTTTTAAGACCGACGATGAGCAGTGCTCGAAATATATCAGTGTTTTTCTCAATAACTTAAGATTTAAGAACTTTCGATGAAAAGCTTTGTGCATTTACTTTGAAATAAGGTCAGGTAATTTAACTGTAGGTACCTATAGGTATAACAAATTTATATCAAAGTGTGATCTTTTTTAAAAAGTTGTTCCCTGTCTCATTTCAGCCTAAAACAACACTTTTAATGAAAACGTCAGTGTCTCACTTCACCCCACCTCGTGGGATGAAGTGAGACACTGAATATTTGAAAAATATAAGGTTAAATATGCTTTTTGGTTATTTTAATAAGTACAAATCTCTAGTATAAACCACGACTCAACTTTGGAGCAAAAGGCACAGAAATTCTTACAAAAGATATGGAATTACAGAGGTTTAAAAGTGAAAAATGTCTCGCTTCACCCCGTTTTACGGTATCCTTATTCCTTAGCGTATCTAACCCTATTCCTGGCGGGCTCCGCCGGGACAAGAAACTGGCGGGGGGGGGCCGATTCGGCCCCCCCCCCTGAGATCTCGAGAACGAAGCAAGATAGCGACAAGCGGTAAACGGCATCGGATACGCACGGCCAAGATCTACAATTTTTACTAAGGTCATTTTCAGGTCAGGTCAAAGATGACGTCACAGGGGTCGAAAAAGTGAAAATGGCGGCGCTAGATATGGAGAGAGTTTTTCTCGAATAACTTTCGAATTAGTCAAGATAGGAACAAACTAAGGGCATCATCGTGATCCTCTCGTCAATCCGCATCGAATGATATATATGTTGACCTCGAAAGGTCAAGGTCAAAGGTTGACCTCAGGTCACGTGACCTTGAGGTCATCATGTATATCATTCGATGCGTCTTGACGAGCTGAACACAATGAGACCATCCACGCGTCTGTATCTTGTTCCTGTACGGAGTTATTGGCCAAAAACCTTTGGTGACCTTTGATGACGTCACATGACCTCACAGCTGCCCAACAGCAAAACAGACATCAAGGTAGTGAAGGTTGATCGTATATGAAGTCATGTATGGTATATGGGGCCATTCCGACCCGTTTTAGTGGTAAAAACAGGGAGTTGATTTTTCCCCCATTGACTTATAATGGGGAGGTCGCGAAATTGACCTGACCTTAGGTCACCGATATCAAAATTCCGAGATATACAAATTGCACATACTGGTACCCTAACTAAACCCTGAAGAGAAGAAATTGATCGGTCAAAAACTCTAGCTCTGGCGTGATTGCAAACTTTTCTGAGGTAGGGTCACCAAACCGCCTCTGGTGACCTGACCTGAGGTCAGATCAACTCAAAATTTTCAGACATGTTGCGTAGAAGCCTTTTAGGAAAAGTCAGAAAATGTGAGCTTCCTAGCTCAACGCGTTTGGGAGAAATAACCAAAAAACCTCAGGGGGGGCTCCTGAGGCCCCCCCCCCGCCAGGAATAGGGCTAAGGCATACTCGTATATCAAGGAGTGCGTAAGCAAAAAATGAGCCTGATCGGACTTGTTAGCCGGAAGGAAGAGCCTAAATTGTGAACAAGCCAAAATGCCGATAATTTTTATTTTGACCTGGCTTGTGACGCTACGTTATCGGTGACCTTGAGGTCAATGAAATTAGGTTTCGATCAACAGTTTTTCCACGGCTATCAGACGCCGTTTGAATTTTAACGACCAGGCCAGTAGTACTCGCGTTATGGAAAATATCCCAGTCATGCGCGGGTAATGGCAGCGCCCAATTTAGTTTAGATAAGCCAACCGGCGATTTTTTATAGATACATTGGTAGGTACGGCGATCCCGCGTCACCCTTTCGGGGGCAGAGAAGAAGAGTGATGAGAGGGGCTGCACAGAGGAAGGCTTACCACACGGCACACGTAGTGGGGCGCTCACGGGGATTGGGAAAGTTTGCTCGTTTTCTGTTGAGTTCCATGCCTTCGTAGGATATTACACTTTCTCCCCAAATGGCAAATGCTGCGGCACCAACCCCAAGTAATGGTGTTTGTATTGTGCTGCCGATATTGGACACAATTTACCACCAAAAAATGTTTATCTCGGCAGACTTTAGCTCAAACGATTATCCTCTCCCAATCCACGTAAATCCCAAACAACATCGGTGGTGGAGAAAAGGCACCCGGGTATATAAAGCTGCTCTCTCACAGCCGTCAACATATTCGAGCGTCGTTTTCGGAGCCGCGCAGTGAAGCAAAAACAATGTTGATCTACCTTTTCTTTGCCATGGTGGCAGTTCAGTCATCAATGGCCGATGAGCCGATGGACTTGAAGCGAGTGCAAAGAGGGGCACTGTATATTCGGCTGCCTGCACGTAAGTTTGAACAACTCTGTAAACTTAGGGGGAGACGGTCGTCCCAGTTTACAGTCATCCGATCGTGGTGATCGGGAAACGTGTTCCTTTCCGAGCACTCGTCAGCCACCAGGGCTCTTCATGTCGCCCTCGCTTCCTCGTCTTCCGTTTCCCTCCAAAGCCTTGTTGCCGATGAGTAGAAAAGTGTGTGTATTTACAAAATTTCAGATTTTACAAATGTACAGCACACACGGACGTTAGACGGTATACTAAAACTACGCGCATGCGCTAGACGGTCTATCTAGTAACGTGAGACATGCGCAGCGTGTGTGCGCGGACATACGAGTATACATAAGCAATGGCGCACCGACACATGCGCAGCAGGTGTGCGCGGCTGTAGGGAACTCCTACACTACCCCCTCCCTAGACGGGTCGCGAACATGACGCGTCGAGATCGGTCTGGAGGTCGTACTTCGCGATCGGGGCGCGAGCGCAGGATAGATCGCGGCGGAGCTGGTTCTGGTGTTGCTGCCCTCGGAGATGGGCGTTCTTCAGGCGGCGTGTCTTGTGGCCGCATCAGCTCCAGGCCGTCCGACTGGGCAGCTGATGGTGGCAGAGTCGCAGAGGCAGGAGACTGCTGCGCAGGTTGGTGTGGCGTCTCTTCCGGAGACGCAGGCTCGCAGTGGTTGATGTTGCTGGTTGGCGCGCTGGCGGCTACCGGCTGCTTGTTGGGCAGAGCTGGCGTCGGCGTCGGTTGCTTCGGTAGGTTGCCGCGAGGAGATGCGCTGAGTGAGGCGTCAGCGTCGATCGGGTGCTGCTTGGCAGTCTTCGTGTTCCGCACGAAGAGAAGTGTTGCGGCAGATGCTTTCGCCCGGCTGCACGGAGGTTCGCAGCGGCGGGCCTTGTTGCCGAAACGCTGGTGGTACCAGCAGACAGAGCTGTCTGGGTACGTCGGCGTCGGAGGGCGTGACGGGAGAGGCGTCTGACGGTCGCGTTGATGAGTCCGGTCGCGGCGGAAGAAGCTGCACGGCACTTTGCAGCGGCGTGCCCTGGTGCCGAATCGCTGGTGGTACCAGCAGACGGCGTCATCTTTGTGTGTCGGCGTCGGAGAGCACGCTGGTGTCGGCAGCCGTGATGGGCGAGGCGCTGGGCGTCGGCGGGAATGGCTCCGGCCACGATCCCGTCGCAGAGCGTCTTGCAGGCGTCGGTTGCTGGCCTCCAGGCGTCGGTTGCTGGCCTCGAGGTTTTGAATCTTCACGATGAGAGCCGCGATGGTAGTAAGCTGGGCTGTTAACCGGTCTGCTGCATCCGGTTGATGTGTAGGCGAGCCGAAGTTGGTTGCGGGAGGAGCGGTGTGCTGCCGGGTGGCGTCGCTCGACTCCATGGCGTGGTGCGCGAGTAGCTCGTATCACGTCGGGGTCACCAGTGTAAACTGCGGGGGAGAGACGGTCGTCCCAGTTTACAGTCATCCGATCGTGGTGATCGGGAAACGTGTTCCTTTCCGAGCACTCGTCAGCCACCAGGGCTCTTCATGTCGCCCTCGCTTCCTCGTCTTCCGTTTCCCTCCAAAGCCTTGTTGCCGATGAGTAGAAAAGTGTGTGTATTTACAAAATTTCAGATTTTACAAATGTACAGCACACACGGACGTTAGACGGTATACTAAAACTACGCGCATGCGCTAGACGGTCTATCTAGTAACGTGAGACATGCGCAGCGTGTGTGCGCGGACATACGAGTATACATAAGCAATGGCGCACCGACACATGCGCAGCAGGTGTGCGCGGCTGTAGGGAACTCCTACAACTCGTGATGCACTAGACATTTACTCGATAGACTGTTCTACTGCAGCTCGTAAGCAAATTAAAGATTTTTCCTTCTCCGATTCGTTTGTATCGGCTACTAAGCGTAAACATTAGAAATAAAAATATGGTAATGATGCTAATACAACTGATCCAAATGCTCTCTTTCAGCGTACTCGACCAACATGTCGCAGTGTCATGACACACAAACGGGGGATTACTACAACGAGGGAGACTTCTGGTCATCCAAGTACTCGGGATGCAAGCTCAGCACCTGCGTCAACATCAATGGCGTTCTCAACGTCGAACGATACTCGTAAGTTAACTGCCCTTGGCTTTCTTTCAAACGTGATGCTTATAAACTTCAACAATGTTTTTGTGGCGCATTATTTGAACGTCATTTTACTGAATGAGTTTATAGTGTAACTTTTTCAAGTACCAAAATAATGTTTGAGAATCAGGTAGCCGTTCTGTACGAGCGCATGTATATTTCTGTGCCAGCACATGCATGTCTCACACGAGACGTTCTTATCTGTTACAGATGCCCAATGGTTACGAAGAATGTGGATTACAACATGATGAGACAAGAGAACTACTTCTGCCACCACGCCTGGGGCAACCGGAACAAGGCGTTTCCCCTCTGCTGTCCCAGTCTTGCCTGCAGACACTATGTGAAGGGGAGGATGATGCCGCTGCCCAAGCACATGTATCCCTACAAGAAGATCGAAAGTTAATTGACTTTATTACGGAAAATGAGCGCCTTCTTCGGTAAAACGTCTTTGCAATAGTGTGTGAGATTATATCGTGTTTTGCCATGGTTGCTGAGTTTAGAAGATGCTGTTTGCGTATTCCTCGTTGCAGGTTGTTGTCCTAACATGTATGCAATATATGTTTCATGTGTATCTCAACTTAGATGAGATAAAAGTGTAATAAACTTGTGAGTCACATCCCCACTCTGCGCTACCGGTGCAAATGTTAAAAAAAAAAAAAAACGTTTGCTGCAGGAGCCCTCAAATGAGCATTTCAGCTGTTTTCATGATGTGTTCACCAGTGCATGCAATAGGTACGTGTAACCTGTCACTGAAATCAAAATACAATTACCCGCTCAATTTATGTTTTGTCTTTTCGGGACCCATCAATTTGGAGCACATGGCTGAGGAAAAGGATGGGCGCGATCCTAGTTTCCCTCGTTGTTTCGCCCTATATTGAACTATGAACTTTACAGAAAAACCAGCGAATTGAGGCACTTTAGCTAGCAGTAGGCAGTCTGTTGTACGTTTTTGACGTCATAACACTCACTTAGCACACAGTTACACGGTTATGAAAATTCTAATGCAGACGAGCTGTAAGGACCCGAGCTAGGTTACTTCTTTCTGAAAGCTTGATCTCCCTGCAGCTTCCACATGGCATGAAGAGTGTCGCGAAACTGTAACATTTTTGGAACTCATGAATGATGTCATACGGCAGTCACCCGACCTGAACTGACTTGACCTGAGCTGGCCTAAAACTGAGGTTTGTGATAATAATCGAACCAGCTTAAATTGAGGGTCAGTCATGCTAACTGTGAAATTTCAACTTTATCTGTAAGAATTTACGAGTTTGACACTTGCTGACACGATTTCTAATGGTCATGCTAGGCTAGTCAGAAATAACCTAAATTTGATGTTATCCTCTCAAACTCTAGGCGCAGAAAGGGTTAGTGGATGCACTGCAAGCATGACGGCTTTGTACAGTTTCAAGACTTTTCATGGCCTTGTATCTCGAGCTTTCCTTGAATCCAAAGCCAAGTCATCATCAACAATGCATGCCACTCATGCGAAGTTGTTCATAACTACACCTTTTTTCCTTCAGTTGAATTGGAGTTGGAGAAAAGGTTGGAGCTCAATTTGAAAGGATGCATTTCAATTTGAAAGAGGCATCAATTCAAATTGAATGACATCTTTTCCAAATTGAATGACATCTTTTCCAAATTGAATGACATCTTTTCCAAATTGAAATGCATCTTTTCTTCAAACTGAACTCCAACTTCTTCAAACTGCAGGAAAGAAGGTGTACACTGTACAGTACATACATAGATGTATAAGAGACGGACGATTAGGACCTCGCCAACACTCGGAGCTCGTGCTCATATTTTATTTATAATTACCAGTAAAACGCCTTTTGGGCGAAGAACGAGCGAGCGAGATAGTGAGCCCTGCACGTGCGGAAGGGCGAGAGGGTGCTTCCAACGGGCTTGTGCAAAGCACCCTTCTAACTGGTCGCTAGCGGTGTGCCAAATTTGAACGCAATCGGCCCAGCCGTTCCTGAGATCTGGAAGCGGCATTCTGCACGTGCGCATGTGCAAACGGGGTCCAAAATGACTTTTGCACGGCACCCTACTAACTGGTCCCCAACCGTGTACCAAATTTGAGCGCAATCGGCCCAGCCGTTCTCGAGATCTGGGAGCGCCCCCTGCACGTGCGCACGTGCAGTAGCACCCTAACCGCAACACATGGGAATGCATTGCCTGGTGGGTGCCTACCTGTATGCCAAGTTTCAGCGAAATCGCCCCAGTAATTACCGAGTTACTGAAATTGGAACAAATTTGGCACCTCTTATTGTTGTATTTTGCACGTGCACTGGGGGTGACCCACATACATCGAGAGTATCCTATTTTGGGTAGAAGGGATGCTGCTACCCTACAAAAATTACCGCAAGTCAATCGCCCAAACGGCTGCTGAGATATGAGCCTCTCAAAATCACTACTTTTGCAAAACAGCTTAAACACCCTTGACTTTTCACGTGGCACGTGCCACGACGGTCACTGAGATGTATCAAAAGTAGTCAATTACGGGGTAGAAGGGATGGGGCTACCCAACAAAAAAGACCGCAGGCCAATCGGTCCAGCGGTTGCTGAGATATAAGCCTCTCAAAAGCGTTACAGGCCGGGCCGGGCCGGGCCGGGCCGCTCATACTGAGATTTTTCCGTTATATTGAAAAGACTCACTTCGCTCGCTGCGCTCGCTCGCTCGTAACAACTGAACGGGAGCCATCCTCAGTTGCTCCTCTGGATTGCCTCGGCTCGTCGGGAGCCGGCGGCGGCGGCGCGGAGTTCAAAGTGGTTACGTTCACTGTCTATATACTCTGTGTTGAGTTGTCCGGATGGTCACAGCTCGGTTTTTGCGTTTTTTGGTCTGTTTTGCCATCTCACTCACCCACCACTGATATTTCTTATATGCTTTTACACATACGATACTCGTAAATATGTCGGGATTTCCACTACATGCCTTTTTCCCAGTAGGTTCCCAAGTTTTTTCTTTAGTTGGGAATTTTTTCCGGAGGAGGACACACACGACAGGGATTAGCAATGAGGGGACACTATTACGCCTTGTGGGGGGGGGGGGGGGGCAGCAGCAGCTTTGGGGTTGAATGCACCAATAGCCCTGTTTGTATTCTGTACATACAGCTACGGGTTTTTCCTATGAGGGGCTTGGGATGTGGGTGTCACGCTTTTCCACAGAGTCGTCAAATTGTGTCGTTAATGTTTGCTGGCAGCTCGAAGGAGGAGCGAAACAAAATGTTTAAAAACGATTCAGCCTCTTAGTAACGGGTGTCTACTAATTAATGAGAAAAAGTTCAGGTAGTAAATACGAACCTTTAAAGGTAATACATAATCTGCATATCTCACATGCTGAAAGACATGTCTGTTGCGAATGTCAATCACGCAAAACGAAAACTTTAAATACCATGGTCAGTCGCCATAAGAACGTTAAGCAAACAACGGTTCTAAGCAATCTTCGCCAATTTTAAGAAAAATTACCTTTCTACAACGGAAATGGCACTTATGGCTCTCCAAGTGCAAGTTAAAGGTTTTTAGCCAAGTGGCAATAGCATGCTTATGATATTTGAGATAAGAGGAAACGTTCAGCATGCTGGAAAAGGTTTGAAGTGGCTGCAACTCTGCGAGTTTCGCCACAGAAACAAGGTCCCCTTCGATGGGGTGCGAAGGGCAAGGTGAGGGGTGTCAATGTGCCTGCTGGTGTGACGCCACTATATTTGCCATTATTATGTCGTATTTTTTTTTTTTTTTTTTTTGCTGTAGAAAATGTGCAATTGAGTACCGGAGGTGCATACAGGCACCTGAGGTCACTCAAGCGCAGCAACGCAGAGAATAACAGCGTTTGCGTCGGCTAATCAGGGGCAAGCTGTCAACTGGTGAGAACGCATTGATATGATAATGGGTGACGAGAGCTGTTTGACTTACCCAGGAACAGATATGTCATATATTGCCAGTTTGTATGATCCAGTGAGGGGGGATACAACTGCAACCTGTGGACACGTCTCCTTACCGGTTTCCAGCTTACTGATGCGGCTAAACGGCCTCTCCGGAAGGGGAGGTGCTGCCAGTCATGTGTCCAAAATGAGTTATCATTGGGAGGATGTTCTATAGTGCGGGGGACGGCAAATAAACGCGTTGATTTCTTATCTTTTAGGGCACCAAGGTAAAAAAGACGAATACTACCCAAATGGCAACTATGCACTCTGATTTGACCTAGTTTTCGTCCATTATGCAATTAAAACCATCGCAATGTTGGAGGGGGTCGGCGTACCCATGAAAGATCGAGAAGACAATCCACCCTGCGTGTCGCAGCTGTGGCCGATTGAATACTTGTGAGGCTTTGTCAAGAAAGAAATGTATCCAGGGCGGTGTTTCACGGGCTGCTGCTACCACGCTGCTATCAAATTGCGCGAGCTGACGTCACACTTGTGGTAGTGTTGGAGCAATGGGCCTGTTGATGTCTCCATGGAAACCCAATTTGACAAGTCGTAAAATCGGCGTGCTGCTATCACCGGTGAAACAGGGCCCTGGGGACATGACCGGTTAGTTATCGCACAAAGATAACTGAGGTTCTGGCCAGCGGGAAACGGACGGGAGACCGGCGCAGCGGCCATCGTGGGTTGGAGGCTGGGGCGGGGAGGGGACGGGAGAGGAGAACGGGGCAGTAAAGTACACACGGCCGGGCCGCCGGCAGTGATAACACCCTAGACGGTGACAAACAGGGGAGGCGGGCTGACCGCGGCGCCGCAGACAGTCAGTCGCCGCGTGGGGGCGAGAGGAGACGACGCTGTGCGGTGAGGCGTGGACGGACGATACTCTGTGGTGAGGCGAGGGGTACCAGGATACCAGCGTCCAACAGCCGGAAATGGAGCCACCTCCAAGTAAGTCCCGGGTTATGACGACGCCTGACGGGACGCCCCGGTCCGCTACGCCACCATTACCAGCCTCACTTCAGAAGACCCAACGGCACACACGCCGCACTCAGTGGCCGCCATACCGCGCCACCACTGCCGTACTAGCGGGCCGGGAGCCACCCGAGACGGGGTCAGTCGTCCCCGGGCACATTTTCTGGGTGTAAACAGTGTCGCTATTAAATGCATGCGCTAGACCCCACGGGTCCGCCAGCCGCGACTGTAGCTTTGGACCGACATCTGAAGACGGGAAGGCGGGAATTATCGGTCTCGTTTGACGTGGAGGTGCCGCGACGTTCGACCACGAGGGTCGGGTGGCGCGTGCGGCGTGACGTGAAACATGGTGTGCTCAGTGCGCTGCGCTGAAGGTATTTGATAACCAATAGGAGGATGCATAAGCATGCAAATTTTCGATTATCTACGTTACAAAATACCCGAGATATAAGCCTTTAAACTTTTTCTCATTAATTAGTAGACACCCGTTATGTGAGCGTAACGCTCCAGCTAAAATCACGTTTTTGAATTTCAGAATGGAGCGGTCGTGATGTGATAGGCCGCGATGATTCCATCCAGGACGCCACAGTCATTTTGACCCCACGCTCCAACCGCCTTACGTATGCCCACTGCAGGCTCCGCATATATATCGAGGAAGCCCTACAGTTGTTTAAAGAAAAAAGGAAAAAAGATATGAAGTCGAGCAATAGCGCTGAAAAGTAAGGATCAACACATGACGCCGTTACACATAATGGCTGATAGCGGCTTTTCCAGCACAACAGCAGCGGTACAAAACAAAGCGGGGCCAGTGGCCACGCAGATCACTATCTCACACGATGTCGCTCCTGTTTTTAGCCGGCTTCAACCGCACTTATTTTAGCCGTCAGATA